TTATCGCTTCTTACCTTCTTATGTCTTTCTTCCTCTCCCACTCTTATCGTCTCTAGTTTCCACTACTGTCACACCGAAAGCGGAAAAGGAATAAGCAATAATATATATATATATATATTATATATATATATATATATATATATATATATATATATTATATATAATATATATATATATATATATATATATATATATATATATATATATATATATATATATAATATATATATAGAGAGAGAGAGAGAGAGAGAGAGAGAGAGAGAGAGAGTGAAAGATCGCAGTCAGCAGGATTCGATACTGCTTCTGGGATGGACAAGATTCCCAGGCAGCGCTCTTAACCACTCGGCCATCACTGATGCCACATAAGCTGGGCAGCCTGGTTCACAAGCCATGTTTCTTTCCCAGCCCGATCACTTGTGAGGTCAGAACATACAGGAGAGATTGAAATAACTTGAGTTCATGTTTGAGGCTGACTGACGTGCCCGGGCTGGGAAAGAAACATGGCTTGTGAACCAGGCTGCCCAGCTTATGTGGCATCAGTGATGGCCGAGTGGTTAATAGCGCTGCCTGGGGAAACTTGTCCATCTCAGAAGCAGTATCGAGTCCTGCTGACTGCGATCTTTCTCTGTATATACCCGCTTGTGTCTGCGTAGTGCATTGATATATATTATATATATATATATATATATATATATATATATATATTTATATTATATATATATATATATATATAATATATATATATATATATATTTGCACACACACTTGTTCAGGAACACACACACACACACACACATACACACACACACACACACCACACACACACACACACACACACACACACACACACACACACACACAGTGTATTACAGTAAATTCCTCTATAACGAAGCTCTTAATACATATCTCCTCCAGATCAGACGTAGGAAGCAGGTGTATCAGAGGACAACAACGCGGGTTTAATTTGGCCCTTGTGGCGCTCGACCATAAAGGGGATATTTGCAAGGCACTGATCCCACCATAAGAATAGAAGGTACTTCACCGGAATAGGATTGTATGTGTAAGATTGTGTAGGATTGTATGTGTAAGATTGTATAGGATTGTGTATTTGGGACTTGCCAGTTTGATAGGTTAATCCAGTGTGAATTTCACTTGATGTTTCCCTGGGTTATTGTGTAAGCAGTGTTGTTTGTGGTCTCTAATGTACGGTGTTGTGTTTATTGATGTTACTCCCCCCCCCGGGATGTCACTCACACCAGTCGATTAACACCCAGGTACCAACTTACCGATAGTCGAATTGTGGTAGCAGGTGTAAGGTGACTAACACCCAGGTGTGATGAATGGTTTGAAAAACCGACAAGTGTCTCAATATTTAACACCCAGGTACCTAGTTACTGCTAGGTAAACAGTGGTAGCAGGTGTAAGGTGACTAACACTCAGGTACCTACTTACTGCTAGGTGAACAGTGGTAGCAGGTGTAACGTGACTAACACTCAGGTACCTACTTACTACTAGGTGAACAGTGGTAACAGGTGTAAGGTGACTAACACCCAGGTACCTACTTACTGGTAGTTAAACAGTGGTAGCAGGTGTAAGGTGACTAACACTCAATTACCTACTTACTGCTAGGTGAACAGTGGTAGCAGGTGTAAGGTGACTAACACTCAGGTACCTACTTACTGCTAGGTGAACAGTGGTAGCAGGTGTAAGGTGACTAACACTCAGGTACCTACTTACTGCTAGGTGAACAGTGGTAGCAGGTGTAAGGTGACTAACACTCAGGTACCTACTTACTGCTAGGTGAACAGTGGTAGCAGGTGTAAGGTGACTAACACTCAGGTACCTACTTACTGCTAGGTGAACAGTGGTAGCAGGTGTAAGGTGACTAACACTCAGGTACCTACTTACTGCTAGGTGCCAAGCAGCAGTAGATGTCTCACCCAGTTCTAACCACTTATGTACATGGTGAGTGTACTCTCCTATACTTGTTTGTAGGGGGTCGAATCACAGCTCCTGCCCCCCGACTCTCTCCCTGCTCCATAAGCTTTATTATGCCTCTTCCTGAAGCTATGTATGGATCCTGCCTCCACTACGTCACTCCCCAGATTGCTCCACTTCTAACATCCCTGTGAATCATCTAAGTCGTCAGTTTAAAACTGTGTCCCCTTGTTGCTGTGTCACATCTCTGGAACATCCTGTCTCTGTCCACCTTATCAATTCCCCTCAGTATTTTGTATGTCATTATCATGTCTCCCCTATCCCTCCTGTCCTCCAGTGTTGTCAGGTTGTGTTCCATTTACCTCTCCTCGTAGGACATACCCTTTAGCTCCTGGGCCAGTCTCCAATTTCTTGATCAGTTTGGGGTTCCACGTTGGTGCTGCGTACTAGGGTATGTGTGTGTGTGTGTGTGTGTGTCACACAGTGTTGTCACACAGTGTTGTCACACAGTGTTGTCACACAATGTTGTCACACAATGTTGTCACACAGTGTTGTCACACAGTGTTGTCACACAATGTTGTCACACAGTGTTGTCACACAGTGTTGTCACACAGTGTTGTCACACAGTGTTGTCACACAGTGTTGTCACACAGTGTTGTCACACAGTGTTGTCACACAGTGTTGTCAATGTTTTATCCTGCTCGTTACTTCGTGTTTGTTCTCTTTGTTTTAATTCATGTTTGTGTTAGTTGACGATGTGTATTATTATACTGTGTATACTCTGTGTATATTAGTGTATACTCTGTGTATATTAGTGTATACTCTGTGTATATTAGTGTATACTCTGTGTATATTAGTGTATACTCTGTGTATATTAGTGTATACTCTGTGTATATTAGTGTATACTCTGTGTATATTAGTGTATACTCTGTGTATATTAGTGTATACTCTGTGTATATTAGTGTATACTCTGTGTATATTAGTGTATACTCTGTGTATATTAGTGTATACTCTGTGTATATTAGTGTATACTCTGTGTATATTAGTGTATACTCTGTGTATATTAGTGCATACTCTGTGTATATTAGTGTATACTCTGTGTATATTATTGTATACTCTGTGTATATTAGTGTATACTCTGTGTATATTAGTGTATACTCTGTGTATATTAGTGTATACTCTGTGTATATTAGTGTATACTCTGTGTATATTAGTGTATACTCTGTATATATTAGTGTATACTCTGTGTATATTAGTGTATACTCTGTATATATTAGTGTATACTCTGTGTATATTAGTGTATACTCTGTATATATTAGTGTATACTCTGTATATATTAGTGTATACTCTGTGTATATTAGTGCATACTCTGTGTATATTAGTGCATGCTCTGTGTATATTAGTGTATACTCTGTGTATATTAGTGTATACTCTGTGTATATTAGTGCATACTCTTTGTATATTAGTGCATACTCTGTGTATATTAGTGCATACTCTGTGTATATTAGTGCATACTCTGTGTATATTAGTGTATACTCTGTGTATATTAGTGTATACTGAAACTCTCTCTCAGGTCTACTGACGTCTATTGACGTTATTCACTGACGTTCTACACTCTTCCTTGCTTTACCCCACTCTTGCGTCACCCCCACTCTTGCGTCACCCCCACTCTTTCGTCACCCCCACTCTTGTGTCACCCCCACTCTTGCGTCACCCCCACTCTTGCGTCACCCACACTCTTGCGTCACCCCCACTCTTGCGTCACCCCCACTCTTGCGTCACCCACACTCTTGCGTCACCCCCACTCTTGCGTCACCCCCACTCTTGCGTCACCCACACTCTTGCGTCACCCCCACTCTTTCGTCACCCCCACTCTTGCGTCACCCCCACTCTTGCGTCACCCCCACTCTTGCGTCACCCCCACTCTTGCGTCACCCCCACTCTTGCGTCACCCCCACTCTTGCGTCACCCACACTCTTGCGTCACCCCAACTCTTGCGTCACCCCCACTCTTGCGTCACCCCCACTCTCCCTCCCTCCCTCCTTCTTCAAATAGAAGGTAGATAAACAACCCCAATAGACAGTAGATGCAATAAGGCTGATAAAAGCAAATGAAAATGGTCGATTTTCACCTTTAAGCCACCAACCTCCTTCAGCACCATGACTGACAGGTAAGCACACACACCTCTCTCTCTCTCTCTCTCTCTCTCTCTCCTCTCTCTCTCTCTCTCTCTCCTCTCCTCTCTCTCTCTCTTTCTCTCTCTCTCTCTCCTCTCTTTCACAGGGTTTGGACAAGGTTAAGGATCCCTAGCTTTATTGACAGCTA